GTGACCCCTCCCTGGGGCCAGCTCCCCCGCTGGCCCCAGTAGGCACCCCCATACTCGGCGAGTATGGGGGTGCCTACTTTTTTGTTTCTTTTTAAAGAAGAAACTAATAACAAACTCCTGATGTAAAACTTGAAGCCACTGACTGGATTACCTTCAGCAGAGCAGACGAGAATGAGGCACAAATACTTTCTTTTTTTGTTAGAAATCCAGGTGATGTCAGGAAGAAACAATCATCCATCATTAATGAAACGGACACCTGAGCCTGCTCCAACACACAGGTGTTAACCTAAGATCACACTCCACAGGTAGCTGCGACATCAGGTTGAATCGAGTGTCAGAGAGTCAACATCTGATCCCTCACGGCCGCTCCTGGGCCTGAATATGAAATGGTCACAACGTGTTAGTGTTTAGGCATGGTTAAAGCTTGTGTACACGCCACAGACGGCCTAAAAGATGGACACTGCCAATGTGATGTGACCTACTGGTAAGTGAAAACCTCAAGTTTATTAATTTTGTGATTGCAATTATTTGTGGAGAGTGAAGAGCGGACTTGTCAAACTGGGAAAACCTCCTGTATTCTCCTGTAAAATAGTGCTTGAGGCAATAAATTCAACAGGAAAGTGTCCATGAGAAAAAGAGCTGAAAAGAGCTTTTCCCATTGACTCCTATTTGACCAGAACTCACTTTCTAACAACAAGGGTGCCCCCTGGTGGCCATTAAAAAGACCATCTTTTATACCGTTTATAGTTCTGGATCCCTTACATTTAGTGGATTATGTTGATCTGCTCTTTATGATCCTAAAGAGGCTGAATGAATCTATTGTGTTTTTGTTTTTTTTTACTGGTTGTGGAAACCACATCACTGTTTCCTATTGGGTTTTTTTTAAATGCAAATACCTGCTTTGTATGGTTTCCTCTTATATCTCTGCATGTGTAAAACAGTTATAATCAGTGTAGACTTCACTCTCACAACATTTTATAAATGTTTGTCCCCAGAATTGAACTACAACTAGGCTAAAAAAAGAAAGGAAAAAAACGAAATATGAGCTACGCTTGTCCTGAAATCTGTCTTTTTCCAGTGCTTACATGTACTGGATATACTGTTTATAATGGGGCCCTGAGATGTATTACAATCCTGAATAGTCCTGGTCAGCTTTCTGCTCTGTACCACTGGTAAACCTTTTTACAGGGCTATTCTCTCAGTCTGCTCCTATGTTAAGAAAAGTGTGGGAGGTTACGGACTTCACTCAGATATTCTTCATATATTCCTTATAATTGTTAAAATGACTGTAATGTGTGAGTTCCTCCCTTAGAGCCTGCTGAATTATAGACTAAACTCATGGTGTATATTAATTTTAAACGCCTTTTATTGTCTTCAATGTGTGTGTGTGTGTGTGTGTGTGTGTGTGCGCGTGCGTATGAAGTCTTCTCACTTCCATCAGAGACTGGTACTTATAAACAAACTCTCCGAAAAACCCTCCATCATCCTGCTCAGCTCTACACATCGCTTCCCCCTTATGTCAGCCTCACAAACCTCAAAATCCAGAGTCTAAATCTTTCACCTACATGTGCAAAAGAACTAAATAACCCTCAGACCACACCTATTCCTTCAAATATTTGGAGCTGTTTCCAGGTGTCTGTAGCTCAGAAGTTAGAGCAGGTCATCTACTAACCTGGTTTGCTCCTGGGTTGCATGCCAAATATCTGTGGGCAAGATACTAACCCCAAGTTGCGCTCCGATGGAGTTTGAATGTTAGATAGAAAGCACTTGTATGAATAAGTGTGGGTATAAAGAGCTCTGGGAGAGTAGAAAGGTGCTGTATAAGAATCAGTCCGTTTGCAAACACTCTGTGCTTCGAAGGAGTGCTGATCATTTTTCAAACAGTCGTGATTTTAACAAAACGAGGAGACCTTTCCAGAGTTAAAATAAATTTATTGCCTCTTTTTAAAATAAACATCTGAAATCAGTCTTTACTCGACATTCATCACTCATTTCCCCCCAAATCAACTCTTTCTACAAGGTTACAAAAATATACACCCAGTTAGAAAAAAATAATCACCTCAAAGATGCTTCCTAGTCTGAAACATGTTTTACATGTTAGCTCATCAGTTTTAATTACTTTATTTTCCTCTAATGGTTTCTTCCATCTAGGCAGACACTGGCTTCTCTTTATGAAATGCATGAAGCCGGAGAGCTGCTGTACAGTGCATTACGATTCTCAGAGAAACTTTTCATTTATCTCAAATCAACAAAAATCAGTCTGAGAGCTGAAGACAGTGTTGATATTTGGCTGAGGCTCTCTCTCCTTGAACCTGATAGGTCCAAAGATTTAACCCTGTAACACAGACTGTATCATATTTGATACATACATGAGATACATGAGATCTGTACATAATCAGTGTGACTGACAATCACACAAATCATTTATAAACTGCTATTTAATTTTTTTAAAGCAATAGATTCAATAAACACACCAGTTTCAAAAAGGGTCAATTATTTCACGGCTCAGGCTTTACACCATGAACTCTCAGCAACTCTCACTCCATTGCTTGTAGTATTTTTAAAAAAGTAAATCAGAACACAGGTTTAAGTGACTCTGCCAAAAATAAAAACATGGTGGAGGTGGCAGTGAATACAGTGCAGCTTTCAGTAACACTGAAATTACAAGTCGTCAGTCTCGATGATACAAAAGCATCACAGTCCTCAGCTCACTCAAATTTAGATGGATCCTGTGCAGGTTTGTGGTAAGTCTTCATAATTTATAATCAATATCATTCATTTAAACTGTATTGGAATCATAAATAAATAAGAAAATCATTTTAAAGTGACAAAACTCCCTCATGTCTTATTTTTTTCCTTGAACACACAAGGACACAACATTAAAAAAAAATATTATTCTGAGTCAGCTTCAAGGGATCAAAACAACCTAAAAGTTTCATTAACTAGCTGGACAAATGTGTTTTAAAAAAAATCTGGCTCTGCATTAAAACACACACAGTAACAATTATGACGTGCATGTGCGCACCATTTTCTCTGAATTGAGATGTTCATGAACTTTGCTGTCAAACTTTTTGGAAATGTTGCAAAGTTGCTTTTCTTAATAACATAAAACAAAATAAAACACACAAACAGAAACCCCAAAACAAAAGAAAAACCCTGAAATGTTCCTTTCATGCAGCTTGATACAAAAACATGACAGACGCAGATTCCTTTTGCACACTTTCGCCGGCTGAACGTGGAAGTAAACTAAAGCCCAGAAAACTCGGCGTTCCTGGATCTGAAGATGATATTCTTAAACATGAACACAGAATAAGAGAAGAAGCACTCAGATTAAAAGAATGAAAGTTTCCTTTATGCTGAGCTTGTTCATCCTGTTCAGCGAAGGACCAAAATCAGTAATCCTGCTGGTCACTTTATCCTGGTTAAAAATATCAGAGCTGTAGGAGATCAGAGTTATGTTTGTGTGTCAGAGTTACAGTTTTAGTTTGTTAATGTGCATCGGCATCGGCGGGATGCCCAGTTTGATCGAGCTCTGTCTCATTCGGCTGCTCAGTGAAAAGTGAGCGCGTCACTCACACTCAAAATAAAATTGAGCTAAAACGGAGAAAAATCGTTCAGCCTCACAAAGCAGCAGCAGCACATAATTCTGGTTTAGAGCCACACTTTAACTTTAACTGCAGCTGACACATGCTGCACGTTCAGTAAGTACCTGCACTGTAGCCCACATTAGCCTTCAACAGTGTATTCATCCAAAATCTGCTACCAAGAACACACTCGTCATCTCTCTCCCTGGTTTTCCACTGCATTCAAATTCAGCTAAATAAAAACAACGATCGTAGCATTAACAGCCTTAAAGATCCCTTTTGAAAACTCTTTCACCCTTAGAAAAATATTTACATCGTTATTGCAGTTATTAGCACCGACTTTTCCCTTTAAAACACAGTTATGTTTATCATCTATGATGTAGTTAGCAGATGAAATCGGTATAATATACACTGTATATTCAGCAGTCAGGGAAACACTGTAAAATAAAATTTTCATTAAATAGTTCGGAAACTCAAATGGAAGTTAAACTGACACGTATGTCAAAGTGCATTTGAAAATGAAGGAGCAGTGTCGCAGCCTGTCCAGAAGAGGGCGCTACGCTCCCACTGTTTACAGACCTGCTGAGGTTGTTGGATAGAAAAAAGTGGAGTTAATGAGAGGGGTCAGACCTCCTCCTGCTCAGAGGTTTAGCTCCCACATTCCCTTTGCTGTGCACGTCTGCAGCCTCGCTGCGGCTTCGGTTTGGTTATGGCACTTCCTGTCAGCGCGTGGCATCCTCCTGTCTCCTACGTGTTCGTCTCCCGCTGGATCTGGATGTAACAGGCCTGTGGCAGAGACATGGTTTAAAATCCTGCACGCATGATGGACGAAGAATAACTGTGATTGGAGTCACAGCTGAAACAAAAACAGCAATTTGGAGATTTCCTGAAGTTTTACAAAGATTTTTTGCTTCCTTTGAGGAACTATGGAGTCAGGAAAGTGCTTATAGACCTTTCTTATTGTAAACTGACACAAAACTAGGAATTTGTTGAAAAGGTTTTTTAATTACGCTGCTTCAGATCCAGAAGAAAACACAAAGGGTCCATAAAATTATGTTGAAACAGGTACTTTTACACCTTTTATGTAAATGTCTCTGGGAGTCGGCTGCTCTCACCTTTAGTGTTGTGAACATCAGTCCCAGCTCTCCGTGCTGAATGTTGGGATCCATCAAATCTTCTATGAGGCTGATTTCAGCTCCCAGGTTTCGGATCCTGAGCAGCAGAATAATGTGTAATGGATTAATTGGATGTTTATAAAACTACTTTCAAAGAGGTGGGATCGTACAAATAACAAGACTGCGAACTTGAAAACCATCAGGACTGGTTTGGTCCTCTTTGACTTGCTTAGTTTGGTTTTCACTTCTTGTACAGCTACTTAGACAACCTCCAACAAAACACAGTACTTAAACTAAATACTCAAGAAAATAGCTCAGGATGGAAAATGCCCTTCATTCTCTTACAGATATAAATTCTGCCAGCGAGCACTTTAATCATTATAAATATCACGTGTTTAAAAAACTTTGAGGCAATAGTTTCTACACCTGAATCTCTAAAGAGGGGACACAAATTTAACACTGTGAGGTCTAACTCACCGGCTAGGCTGACATCAACCCTGAATCCTACTCCTTTGTATTTGGAGACAAGCTAAAAGTACTTTTTTGGGAAAAATCGAAGTATTTTTGAAAAATATCAGGTAGACTGATGACTGTTTTTGTTCCCTGATTGTCAAGACTTCAATAAAAGCATAAGGTTAGGGTAACCAACACAGACCTCAAATACCACCAATAAGGCAATACAGACACCTCTTACTACATGCAAATGCATGAATGTGTGATAGGATACCTGGCTCTGAGCACCACATAAAGGAAGAGTGGGAACAGATCATCCATGCACCAGAGGAAGTCACCATGCAGCAGAGGTTTCACCTCCAGGGTCAGCTCCTCAAACGACTTCTGGATCACCATCAGCTTGTCTGACGGAGTGAATCTGGTGCTGTGTAAATATGAAGGGTTGAATTTTAATACTCAACTCGTGAATTTACATTATAAACTCATGACATTGTGACATTTTTTTTAGTGCGTGGGTGTGTATCCCTTTACCAAAGTCTCAATAGTTTGTGATCAAGCATCACAACATCTATTAAAAAACCAGCTGAGTGAAGGAGTCCCAGTGTGTGCTTGAATAATCAGCTGCTAACTGAGTGAAATGACCTGAAAGTATCTGTGTGGCAGTCTTCACAAGAACTGGGCAAATTCTCTAAATGCTTAGGAAAGGTGTTTAATGCTTCCTTTAGGAGAGGATATAGCTGAGCATCCTTGATGAAGGAAAAGGAGACAATAGCGACATCCCATTCAAGTGATCACCCATCCGACTATCCTTCTTTTTAACCGCTTACTCAGTTCACATAGAGAGCTGCTGGCGGCTCTGAGGTCAGCAGGAGAGTGCAAAATACTGAGCACCCTCGAGGAGACCCTCCATCGCAGTCAGGAAGCTCCACCCACCAAAGAGCTGAACATCTGTGCGCTCAGGTTCAGGATGTGAAGGTGGACGTCAGGATCGACAACATCATCCGTCACTCTGAACTGAGCACAGCTCATCATTCAGTGTAGTGACGCTCTTCTTCATGGCCGACAGGTGAACCATGAACTTTATCCCGCTTTAATAAAATCTGCTTCTAAGGAGTTTTTTTTACTTGTGTGAAGAAACATTTACATTTTGAAAAGCTTGTGTGTTTGTAACCAGGACATCTGTAAATTCAGTTGCAAATGAATCACTCTTATAGATACACAAAACTCTAAACCATGAATAAGAGCTCCATTTTTCATTTTTAGTGTCTAGTCATCACTAATGACATTGTGCGTGATCACAGGGCAGCTACCTGATCTGCTGGAGTGTTTCTACAGCAGAAACAAAACAGGCGTCTTTGCTGCTGGACACAATCTGTAATGCATGCAAAGAGATCCAGTTACAGACAATGAAACGAGAGCTGCAGCTGTAAATAAAAGCTGCACATTTAGACTGAAAATTACAGAAAGAAAAAAAACTGCCTCACCTGCTTTTTCTCCCCAAGAATTGACATCCACAGCGGCCAGAACTTCCTAAAGTGGAAAAATTCAAATGACACAAAACAAACAAACAAAATGTTTTTTTCTAAAGAAGAAAACCTTTTATATTTTTACTTATTTTGTGTGTTTTGTACTCACTCCTGCACTTCCAGGAAGCTGAGCAGCGATTGGTCAGGCTGTTTGTTGAGTCGGAGGATGCGCTCCCAGTACTCAGTTTCCTCCTGCTCCTCCTGCAGGGAGTACAGAGTAAAGAGAGGAGGATAGAGTCGAGGGAGCAGCAGAGGGAGGAGGAGAGAGGAGGAGCTCACCACCATAACACAGCTGGAGAATAACGTGGTGGAGGAAGAAGAGGAGAAAAACACAGATGAAGAGTCAGGAAAACTTCATGTGTCCTGTATGTGTGTGTGTGTGTGTGTGTGTGTGTGTGTGTGTGTGTGTCACTCACCCATGCCCTGTTGTGTAAGAGTTGCGTCTGCTCTTAGATGGAGAGGTGGGGGCATCTGGGAGGACGCTGCCATCGTCCGGTAATCCTGGGAATAAAAACCTGCAGACAGAATATTACACCCATATTTAGTCAGGTGACAGACATTATACCACATATACATATATAGTAAAATTTATTGTATACAAGAGTTTTATTTAAGTTGGTTTCGCATTCAGTTTCTAAATCTAAAAAGGGCTCAGTCCCTGTAAACCAAATCTTAAACGACAGTCCTGACTCCCTCACAATCAGCTGATTGATTTATTTTTGGTACAATAACTTTAATATGAAGACATGTCATGTTTACTCTCAGAGTTAAAAGCCCTCAGAGTCACAGGGGAGAGGTTGTCTTATTTTTTTCCAAAATTGTGGAACTCTTACAACTTAAGTGCACGAAAAACCCACATGAAATTTTCAGATCCTCGACATAAAGTCGGTTAAATCTGACCTGGAAAATCTCTGCACAGGTCCATGGTGAAATCATATGCACAAGTGCAGGTGGTCAGAACAGGATTTCAAGGTAGTGACTGAAATGTAGCAATGGCACAGAAAGCTGCACTAAGATGACCTTAAACAGGGAAACAGCAAAATGTCCTAATTTTCAGAGCACAGTCCTGGAAGTTTCTCCAGTCTCAGACCCGTGTATAGAAACTCTTTCCTGAGGGCCCAGCAAACAGATGCATCTACCTGATGACGCCGTAGAAATGCGTGAGGTAGGCCAGGACTTCTTGGACCGCCTGCCTGAGCAGCCTGCGGTTTGATCCCACACCGACGTACGTCATTCTGTACGCTGTCACCAACGTCTCCACCAGCCAGCCTAGAGGGTGGTGGGGGGTCTCACATGCCTGATGCACACACATACACAAACATCTATTAACAAAAACAAAACTACAAATAACCAAAACCAGAAGACTTTTTTGACGCAGGAAAACAGCTCATGATAATCAAACCGCACCTAACTTAAACTTGGTAATATCCCCTCAAGATCTTCTTTGAGCCTGGACGGCTTCCAATGCGTTCAAACATCACGTGATGGATCATCGCGGCTGATCGGGGCTGGGTCTCCAGTTGCCACAGCTATTACAGTTTCTATTTTGGTTTATTTTATTTTGTTTTGAATTCAGATTAGTTCCAGCTGTTCAAAGAGTGAATTTCCACATTTCTGTTTAGTTATTAGCTTTAGTCTTAAATTCCTAAAATATGTGTCAGTAGTGAGATTTAGAAGTTCATAATGAGCATTAAATACAAATGCAACGCTTTTTAAAGGCAGCTGATACGTAATCTTGGCAATTAAGTATCGAAGTGTGACCAACGTGACAGATAAAATATAAGGAAACCACCTATATTTTTATTATTTGCGTTTTAGCGTTTCAGGTAGCTTTCCTTTTTTTCTTCTTCAAAAATGTGAGTTCTAATTTATTTATTCTATGTAATCTGAAAAGCTCCTAAAATGTACATTTTAATTTATGTTTTCTATTGTTTATTTATGGGATCTCTGCACTTACTCTGGCTTCTCCCCCACAGCCCAAACAGATGCCTGTTCGGTTAACTGGAGATTTTAAAATGGACTTGAACTGTTGTTGGCCATTCTATCACAGGCTAATCTGTCTAGCATGCAACTGTGTGCAGACACACAACCTCCTCTCAAGGCCCGCCTCCCTGCTAATTCATCCACTTTGCACCTTTACCTCTGCCATGCACGCTGGATCTCCACTGATCAAGTTGGGTGGACATCCAAGTTTTTGATCACACCCCGTACACACAGTCCTATCATTAACTCTGTCTTTCCAAACCATTTGCGTCTGCGCCTTAATGAAGGATAAATCTGTTTATTTAAATGTATGATCACTATACCTTGGTGAGGTATCTTCGTATGTTGTCGTAGTTTGCTGCAGTGACAGGTTCTTCATACTGAGGAATAAACTCCAGACACTCCAGGACTTTGGTCTGAGACCTGCTGAGGTCTGGGCTACAAACATACAGCACACAGACACATCCACTTATTTAAGTTGACAACTGTATACATAAGACACGATGAATTATTATCACACTGTGAGGCCCATTAAGTAGTTTGGAAAGTTACATATTTCTTCTGCAGGAGTTTCAGCACATTTAGTTTAAAGTAAAATGATAAATACTGCATTAATGTCTCATCTTTAAAATGTGTAGGTTTACATCATTGTAAAAACTGTGCGGCAGAGCTTTCACTTTAACAGATACAGTGTTTTATTAATGCCACTGTGGCAGTTACACTGTCAGCCAAACGTGCCGAAGCATGACAGAACCACCGCCGTGTTGGATGGATGAGGTGGTGCTTTAAGTCATCAGCTGTTTCCTGTCAGTTTTATAGAAGTCTAGGGGAAAATGACCCGACTTCTCACAGAATTTATGACGGCAGTAAACACCTTTCTGATGAATTTATGTTCTCAGTTTTAGATTTAAGTCTTAATATGATATTCATTTTCGTAATTATGGTGCTATTTGAGGTAAAATGTACAATAAAGAAGTTTATTATTGAAACCTGATTTAAAAAAAAATCAGGCTACTGACTATTAAAATGTTGAAAGTGAGCCTTTAAAACTGGATTTCATCAACCAATGTGTGACCTCAACTTGGCTACATCAATCTTTTATTTGAAATCTGCAGTCTAAACTAACACAAATTAAATCTGAGCCTTTGATGTTGCGTCCTTTATGTGTCTACCTCTGCCGTCGTGCAGTTGTTATTGTAACAGCGATGTTCTCCCAGGCCGTTGTCCTCTCTCCTTTCCCAGCAGCGTCGCAGCCAAGCCGACTCCAACATTCATCAAACACACAGATCCACCTCTGATCTGCCGGCACGGCGTACTGACCCAGTCTGCTGCACATGTGCAACATTTTCAAAGTTTTAAATGACACGGCATTATACGATTATACCCTCGTAACAGACAAGAAGTTGACAAATAAAAGCCTGCACAAATCAGGAGCACATTTACATGCATTATTATAAAACCAGCTCACTAAAGTGCAATAAATACTCACCTCAGGCCGTTCTTCTCCTTGTTTGGAGGTTCAACAATGCCTGGCTTTGTGTACGTTCCAACCACCTTCAGCCCTGAGCTCCACTCTCCACTGAACTGGCCGTCCAGACTGTCACCATTAGGCATGGTTAAAATCCCCTGAAGGAGAAGAGGAGTGAAGAATGAAACTTGTTTTAGAGTATTATTAGTAACAACCGTGATAAAAAGGAAAAAAAGGTAGATTAAAGTTTTGAAGACTATCAAAATAAGACCTTTGCAGACAAGTCTTAAACAAAGAGCAGAAATCACTTCTACCTTCCCGCTGATGGTCCAGTCGTCAGTGAACTCCCCATGAAAAACTGTGTCATCGTCTGACATCAGCAAACCCGGACCCTGTCAGAAAGCACACAGCATCAAATGTGTCACCAATACGATTAAGATTTCATCACCACATTATATTTATTTTCATTTCATCATCAGGTCAGATTTAAAGGCAGGCAGGACATTTTACTAGTTCAGAATTCAAAGGCGTGAGGTGCACAGGTGCACTAGTTCTACAACATGCACTACAAACTGCAGTCCAGTCACGTGTCATGGATAAGATTAGAAATGTATCGATCCTGAGTGAAACCCTTGTGTCTTTTATGTGCTTTGTGCAATAGAAATATAAACAGTTGCAAAACAAGAGACATCTATAGTTAAAATTTAAGTAAATACAAAATTGTTGTTTTTTTTGTTAAAATGTCTGACTCAAGCTAAGAACATCCCAGAAAACATTTTGCAGTTGAAAAACATCATTTTGATGTTTTTTGACAAACCCAACCTAATTAACAACAGTCTGCTGGACACTCTTCCTGTACTCTCTGGAAAGGGGATGTTTGTGTTTAGTAATTAATTTACAATATTATCTTATCAACTAGAGCATGATAAACTCATTTTATCGATCTGATTCACATACTGAGGTGTCTGTGTCATCCATCTGTTTCTCTTAAAAGGCAAAAGGCAGGACATGGTCTCAGCAGGTTGGCAGACTGCAGGGCTAACACAGAGAAATTCACACCTACGGGAAATTTAGAATCACCAATTAACCCAACATGCACTCCTTTAGACCAGGGGTGGGCAATTCCAGGCCCCGAGGGCCTGTATCCTGCAGGTTTTAGATCTCACCTTGGGTCAACACACCTGAATCACATGATTAGTTCATTACCAGGCCTCTGGAGAACTGCAGGAGCTAATTTAGCCATTTAAATCAGCTGTGTTGGTTCAAGGACACATCTAAAACCTGCAGGGACACCGGCCCTCGAGGCCTGGAGTTGCCCACCCCTGCTTTAGACTGTGGAGAAGTCTGGAGTGCCCGGAGGAAACCCACAGAAGGAGAACATGCACAAAGAGGGCCTCTGACTGGCTGGTGGATTCAAACCCAGGACTCTCGTGCTGTGAGGCAACAGGGCTAACCACTGTAACGCTGATACTGGAGGGCAGAGAAGTGATAGGTGTGATCATCTCGCAACAACTGAGACAGAATTTACATCTACATAACCATAAAAGGATTAAAATGACCATGTATTTTAAAAAAGCATGCTTGGGTAATACTGGGGTTTGTATATGTTTTTTGGCTGAGATGAGCCTGATGTCCTTTGCTGGCATGTTTAGAGTCTACTAATGGGAGCAGCAGTGGGGTTAGCATATTTTAAATTCTGCTGTTTGAAGAAGGAAAAGCATGAGCTCTGAGCGCTCTGCACCCCTCTCCGCCATCCCAGGACCCCTTCTGGTATGTGCTTCAGTGACATCAAAGAGAATCCTTTTTGATGATAAGCAGGATAAGTTATTTAATTATTACCTGCCGCATGTAGGATGCATTGTGTAAAATGCATTTGGTATTTTATCAACACACCACAGGCCTGCAGCTACTACCTGTCAGCACCAACAATTCAAGCCTTGTTACACCGCATGTCTCTCAACTTATCTGTTATTTCAGGTGCAGGGGTTTGTATATGCTTATTATAAACTAAAAGCTTTTTTAGAACTAACACATAGGATGAATAAAGACAAAAATGCATTTGTAAATGTTCAAACTAGTTTTTTTCTTTCTGCACATGTATTTAAATAAACCAGCAAAAAACCACTTATTAAAATGTACTCAAACTCACTCATCAGCTAACAAATTTGTAAGCACATATGTAAGCAGATACATATTTCAGGGTGTACTTACGCTCATTTTGTTCTCTCTGAAAGTTCCTTCAAAGTACACACTGTGCTGCGTGATGACGACCGCACTACCATGCCGCTGGTCATCCAGCCACATGCCCATGTACTTCTCACCTCTGGGGGGAAAATGAGATCAGGGACTGCTGACAGGAGCATGTCTTTGATACAAAATTCATTCAATGATAGGCCATCTCTAGAAACCAGGACCGATATAGACTACTGTGAACCGACCATTAGACGAAACCTTGCTCCGTCCTACCTAAGGAGATGCGTTCCACATTAACACTTCTGAGTTTCCATATTTCTAAAATAGCAATTTTCTTGGGGTTATTCAGACCTTGTGATGTCATCGTAGACGCCATATCCTGTCTTCTTGTCGTGGACCCACTGCCCGATAAAAACACTGGAGGAATTCCTCGCCAGTTTCCCAGAGCTCAGCATGCCGTAACCGTGCCGCTGCCCATCGCAGAAACAGCCCTCATACACCTCGCCACTTGCATACCTGAGTATGACACATATACAGCAGCCTTCTGTATTAGTGTGCAGAGCCCACAGCTGTGGCCACTTCAAAAAAAAAAAAACACTGTGGAGACATGATGTTTTATTTTAGTTCCACATTTGCTGACCCAAGACATTTGTTAATAAGAGCCGATGTCTTTAAAACTTAAAAAGCTTTTATATCTGTATATGGACGTCCAGCGCTGCTACTTAACACCTGACTAAGGCAACACGTACAATTTGTGCTATCTCACACCAGAAAGTTGGTAGAAAATGTGTACTGACTTGTACTTGCCAAAACCATGGATCTTGCCCTCTCTCCACTGTCCTTGGTAGGTGTCGGTTTTATTCAGTAGTTTATTAGGAATCACACAATTTCCATAGCTGGGAAAAAAAGTAACAGTTAGCAAAGATCAGAATCTGCGACGTGGATATTTAAAACATGCCGGAGGTGAAGTGTAGGGCAATTACATCACTATTTCTGTTTCTTTTTTATCACATGACCAAAGGCAGGAAGAGCAGAGGTTTCTTACTGGAAATGAACAACATATCCAGTAACCACCTCTGTATAAGACCAGGTTACTGTACTGACCCATCCTCCAGTCCATTCTTGAAGTTCCCCTTGTACAGTCGCCCATCCGGCCACTTCATGGTTCCTCTGTGAAGGAAAATATAGCTTCTGCTTAAACCATTTAGCCAGCGTCATCAATTAAGTTCCCCACACAAAGAAGGAATTTACACAAGAAGGCTGGAAACAGTCTTTTCTTCATTCATGCTGACTTCACTTATTGGTTTCTAGTGATTTGATTCCTCATTCATGCACATTGCTCCTCTTTGACCTAAAAACATAATGACTTCAAACCTGCGTATTGAAGAAGTGGCTCTGCTTTTTAAATATATATAAACATATTTTACATTAATCATTGTTTCTAAGAGATTATTTGTTTTGTACAGTGGTCCCTTGCTATAACGCAGTTCGCGGCCTCGCTGTTTCGCTGATTTTTTATGTCCAATTTTGCATGGTTTTTTTTTTCTTACAACGCATTGTGTTCTGCACCCTGATTGGCTGTAGACCACTGTCAATCAATCTCGTGCTGTGTCTCGTGTACACAACAGAATGCGTTCAGCTTGTCAAATTTACACAAATCTTCAATCGCTAACAGTGTGACACTGAAGTGCTGTACTGTATGTTTGTAAGTTTTCTCCCCGACAAACACAACAACGTCGACGAGGCGTTTTGCACTGTCAAAGGCAACAGCGGGTGCTTTTGGTTTCATTCTATAATACTGGACTGTTTTTTTTTCTTTGAAATTTTTAACTTTGAGAGTGTTTAAACAAGAGTGTGAAAACGTTCATGCCTGTCTGAGAAAAGTGTATAAAGTGTGTAGTAAGGGGTTTTACAGCCTTAAAACATCTATAATAATTGTAAAAAATAAAGTTGGATTCTTCGCGGATTACACCTATCATGGGTTATTTTTAGAACATAACTCCCCCTGTATTGCTAACTGGCTGTTTTTTTGGTATTCAAGTTGTATTGGAAACCTATTGAGTTGGGCACATTGTTTTATGCATTTATGCGTGACAAAATAATACAGTTCCATTAAATCCTGTTATTATTGTTTGATTTTACAGGTGTATTAAATGAGGAACATTTTTAATGTTCTCCTAAATGATGCCTTCAGGGGCCCTTAAAGAGAATGCCAAAAACATACAAACATGTTTTCTAACCTGCCATGAACCCGTCCTGCCAACCAGCTCCCGGTGTACTGACCATCTTTGAACCGTTCGTCTGCCGTGAACGTGTAGGAGGCCGTGCGAGTCATTGCTGGTGACGACCCCTGACCTCCGCCGCCCAGTATCTGATCCACTGTCTGGTTAAGAGATCGTAACCACTTGTTCTGCAGAGAAAGAAGCACAGAACCGAAGGTGACGCTTTAAGACGGAATTCGATCTCAAAAAAAAACTTTTTTTACAAACTGATTTTGAAAAACTGAGCAACAGTAATGGTTTAAACCATAAATGTACCTTTTCCTGCGGTGTTGAGGCCACCAGGGTGAAACTCTCCTCTGGACATGTTATTTTGAGGGCATGACTGAAAATATGCAGCACAAGAGCAATAATTAACTTAATTGGTACAAAAAAACAACGAGGTGGATCTTTTAAATATTGTATTACAAATGACATCCAACTTCCACTCCCTAAACGCTTTGTAGGCTGGAGGTCCAACTTAAAAATATTTCTAGAATTAGATCACTTTTGTCTCCTGCTGATTTTCATAAGGTCATGCAATGCTCTGCAAGCTGGAATAAGTCAGAGCTCACTCCACTGATCCCAGCTGCTCAGATTTTAAAATCTGACTCATAAATAAAAAGCATAAATGACATCCTTATAAGTACATGAAGTGCTTATTACCATCTTATTAGTCTGGGGGTTGAACGGGACTCTACTGGTTATTCTGGGGTCTCAGCTAGCAAACAAAGGTGACAAATGTACCAGTACTTTTAAAAGTAGATGATTTAAAGAGCAGTAGGTTTCATGGGAAGTTAACCATAACCATGGCTTAATGTTTTGCTGCTTGTTGCCTATCCAATAAATACAAAGTAAATTAAAAGATTAAAAAAGATCCCCGCATGGATCTCACTGCTCCCATGTTGCTGTTGAGGCTATAGTGTTGCATAAATGTTTTTATCAGAGCGACTAACATTCCTTTACTTCGCATTAGTCAGCATGTAGATTGATTTCTACAACAACAAACTCACAGTCCGCTGCCGTTTTCAGTGACCGGTTTCACCCACAAACAGGTCAGAGGGTAGACGTGATGAGTGGAGAACTGCACACAAAGAGGGAGAGCAGCACTTTTTCTGTAATTCTCACATATTAGGTAACAACGCGCTGTCTGAGATTACAAAACTTTAGAAACGATCAAATCTTACTGTGTGTGTGTGCATGTTAGAGAGGGAGAGAAGAGGATAGATGACCAAAAGATAAGCCTTTATAACTGTCTGTGGTTTCCTGACTGTGTGCTGGTAAGTTGGGGAAGTCCAACGTCTTTTGAGTTCAGCTACACTACCCTACATTAATAAGGCAGTTTCCTCTATAAACCTATGACCTTTTATGATATTTCAGTTGTTTTCAACATGACTTGTGTTTTAATATTCAAAGTAATTGACTGTTTTAAATTCCTTTTTATATCAATTACAGTTAAAGGTCCATAAAAGCTTGTTTTTTTTTTTTAACTACATGAGATGTAACCATTAAGTTGTGTGACTCCTACAATATAACCCTGATTTAAATTTGGATGACTTCTCCTTCAAGGTCCTCTCCTTATGCACTTCTGTGCTGCTTCCAGCACTTCTGCTGCTTTTAGGTCTATCTGTAGAAGTCTTGTTCTGACCATTTGAACATGTGAGCTGAAAACAGAAGCATAGAAATGACAACCATGCTGGACGTGGACACACAGAAGTGAGTGTTGGGCCTGTCAGGGTTTCACCCTCGTCTTTGATCCATGAACAGGATTTTAAGGGATAAGCAGGGGTCCATTTTTTGACCCTCGGAATAGCATTTCTGCTTTTTGCAGATGTAGTTCTGTTGGCTTTAGTGGAGCGTGACCTTCGATTTTGTAGCCAAGTGTGAAATGGCTGCGATGACAATCAGCAGCTCAAAGTCTGAGCGCTGTAAAACATTGTAATGCTCCCTCTGGATCTGGGAAGAGACGCTGCCCCAAGTGAAGAACTCTCATCATCTTCTTTGCCAGTACTGAGAAGATAGAGGTAGACCAGCAGAGTGGTGCAGCGTGTGACTGGATTGTCATGACAAATTAGTTTTCTCTTGAATGACTGGATAGTAAAGCGAGAGTTCCAACTCTCACCTATGGTAAGGAGATCTAAAAACCAAACAAGTAAAATCACCTGAAGATCTTCTGAGCTAATTCTTAGGGAAACTCAGACATCCAGAAGGAATTTGAAGCCTTTGCGCCTTTGTGTGAAAAAAGAAGCTAGCAGAGATGGTTCAAGCCTCTGCTCATGGATGACTCATGAATGGAGGGTTTTTGGGCACATCTAACATCTAAGAGCGAAAGATCCAGAACTCACTGAGTGATTTTATATCTCATTGGGCCTGGGAATTCCTCACGATCACTCAGGAGGAACAGGAAAGAGATGCTGGGGAGAAAGATGTCTACAATATCCTGCATAACCTGATGGCAGATAAGCAGAATTGAGTTGGTGGATGGCCGGATGGGTAGACGGACAGACAGACGGATGGATGGATAAGGTGAAGACCTTGAAAGGGAAGTGACCAGCTTTAATTTTTGATTGTCATGGGAAGAATTAACATTTCTTAGTGCACATTGCATACAAACCACATTTTACAATTATAAGACTTATTTATGATGCACAAAATGACTTTTAATACATCAACGGTTGCTCAAAGTTTTAACTCACAACACGTGACATGAGCCCAACACACCACACCACATCAAACAGGAAACAGAGTCTCAGGAAGAAACTGCTCTAAAACCAAAAAAAGTAGCCAGAGAGGACAAGCTGACAGTAAGTGTAAGAATAAAGAAGCCATCATCTGGAAGAAATCAGTGACAGTCTCCTTGTTTAAAGCTAGACCACAGCAGTGAGAGATGCATCCTTTCACCATCACCCTTCCAAGCTCTGAACTACTGCAGCTATGACCTCATCTACTTTCACCACTAACTAATGTTGGAAAATCTTCTAAACACAAATGAATCCACACACAGCAGCCTGCTGAGCAGCAGCTGGACAGAATCAGCCATCAGGACCACATGCACAGAATAAATGTTAACACAGGACATCTGTAATGCTGGAATATTACAAAGGCCAATGATCACTGTTTGTTTTAGCCTCATTCATGTTAACTGAGTGGACAAAATATTAAAAACAGAGTATTAGGGAACATAATGGCCAGCAATTCTGACATCAAAGGAAAAATTAATTTATGAACAACGCAAGCCATCGTTCATCATTATACAAACAGACAACGAATTCTTAGTTTAGTTGTAGATCAGTCGATAGTTTGTTCTGTCTTTTCATTTACTATCAAAGGGCTGACCAGTTGCCATAGATGTGATCCCACCAGTGAGACTCTTGTCTCTCAGGTAGACCAACTTCAACTCCACCATCTTATTCTGCTGTGAAGATTTGGTGCAAGCTGGAGGGCTACTCCAACTAGAGGTGAATAGGTTTGTGTGCTGCCAACCCAAGCTCAACAAGGCTGCAAAGCAGAGCATAGACTAGTGTCGCCAAGTGCTACTCAAGAAGATGGAGCTGGAGCATGTCCACAGGATGAGACACTCACTGGTGAGCCAGTTAATTATTCGGCCTATATGATATTTGCAGAGCTCTTATTTCTGCAGGGGGAAAAAAATCACCTCAGATCTTTGAACTAACAGAAGAACTTGCTTCTGAAAGTATATAAAGCCCCAGATCTTTAAGCACCTGTAATACCTGTCCTGTATTAACATTTATATAGCTGCATTCAAATCCTAGTTGATCCTGTCGGAGTGGAAGCACTGAACAGATGCCGGCCCACCTACAGTATGCTGCTGCAGCTCAAGCTCAAGCTCAGTTACAGTTATGTCTGTTATTGGAGGTAAACTGGTGGAAGGGATACTCACGAAGCTCTGAGAGGGAATTGTACCCTGAATAAAAGACACAATGTTCATATGTAAGCTTCAGCTGTAAATCAATGCAGATGACCAGAAATCACTGTCAGCAGAAATCCTTTGGGTTTTCTCTGGTGTACAGTGAGTGTTGTTGTTGTTAACAAAAAAAAATGAAATAACGACAATTTTAAAAGACTTAAAGGCTCCTTTATGCACTGCTTCCCCCAACATGAATTTATGCTACTAACATAAAAAAGAAAAGCACTTTAATATATCTGATTTCATACTGACTTATTCTGAGTACCTGTGTGTGCACCAGGGCGTCATTGAACAATATGAACCAGTGATTTGAGAACCGCCCGGCGTTCTGCAGAGTCAGAGATCGGTTGCTGCTTTCACAGACCACACGACGCCTAGGAAGACGCAGGCACTCCTGAAGAACAAAATCACACACATAAATTTCCTTAATAAAACCCGGGGTACTCTGGTAGCTCATAAGCTGCAACACATGTCTCATAACTTAATGTGTTTTCACACAGGATGTGGAAGAGGCTGCACTCTGAAAACCATTACTTTCAACAGACTGTACTGTACAATGATGGGTTGCTGCTTTGCAGAGCAGCGTGCAGTTCAGATGCTCTTGCAGACACCTTGATCAAAGTGCAACAAATTTAAATATACGGTGATTTATATTTGTCTGGGAATTTGATGAATTTACAAGAGGAAACCCTTGGAAACAGGTTTCTGTGCAAGCAGACACCTCAGGTGTGTGTTTTGACACACCAGTTGCTCTACAGATCTATTATAGTTCTTTAACAACTGAAGAAAGGAGGTGCAGAAAAGAGACTGACATCCAACTGACAGTATTCAAAACTGTACCTATTTGTTTTGTCTTTGAACAGCATGCTACACCCATCAGTGAGAACTACCCTATTACTTTAGCCAATGAAATGCAGGGCAGGGCTGTTCAGGGCAAGTTAATACTCTGGGAATCAGCTCAGTTTGAAAAGGAGCACTTAGAGAGTGCTGCCAGGAAGGCTAGTGGCTCTAGGGAGTGAAATAAAATTTAGAAGCACACTTGTTGTCATGGGTTAAAACCTCAAAGGAAAGCATAGTGACTAATGTGTATAGACTAGAAAAAAATTACAGGATGCAGGCACATAAAACAGAGTTGTGCTCACAGTAGTTTTGCCAGAGTGGGTCTTCCAGAACAGGAAGGTGGTTTCAGCCTCCTTCTTCCTTCTTAGCAGTGATGAAGACAGGGACTCGCAATCTTTATGACCCTGATCAAGGGACTTATACTCCACAGTTAACTGGGGAGAAAAGGAAAGACAGCACGACAGAGAATTTTGTACACCTGAACATATAGAAGACTTGAAGTCAATATAGTGACATTAACAACCACTTGTTCTAATGTTGCTCAGTCATGGGAACGAAACAGAAAGTGAGGGAACGGAGCAAGGGAAAGAGAGAAGAAAAAGAAGAGGGAAGGTCAAAAAAGTGCTTGAGACAAAAAGAGAGAAGAGAGATTTTCTCACCACATCATAGCAGGCCGCCAGTTTGAGCAGGGCTCGGCTGTACTGGTGGAGCTGCTGCAGAGGCCAGTACAACATTGAAACCAGATCAACATCACCACTGGCTGACTGATCTGATACGGACAGCTGAGTGAGCAAAGTCTGCCGAAAGCCTAAACTCTCACTGGGCAGGAACAGAGACAGGCAGAGACAGATACACTCTTAGAATAACACGTCTGTCAAGTGACTGGGATAAGTTTTATGCTTTTAGTTTAGTCACAAAAGAAGAAAACATACAAGAACATGTATTTGCAAATGAAGAGAGCTGCACTCCTACAGTGAGCACTTAAGAAAAATAAAAGTGCTTACAGCGAGAGTTTGTGAAGTGGTTGGAATCCGCCCATTACTTGGAAATCACCAAGTGAAGAAAAAAACCTAGAGTCAGACAGAGTGATTTTAACTTAGATTTTACCCCTCAGTGACACACAAGATACAGCTTTACAAAGTCAAGTGAACTTGCAAGAGCTTAAACCCTCCATCTCAAATTAGAGGCATTTGTACTATTAAAGATCATTTGAAATAGGTTTGTCTTCCTGGCTTGTTTCTTTTAACTATATATAAGCCTAAACAAGATGTGATGAAACCTAACCTGATCACAGCGTAAGTATGTGTGATCCCGAATTTCAGGAGGGTTTGCTTGTATGTAAAGTAATTCTAGCCACAGCACTATAACTGCTTTGTAATGCATGAATAAACAAAGCATCATGAATGTGCAGCTGACAAATCAGCAACAACTGTGTGATGCGATCATGACAACATGGATCAAAATCTCTGAGATATTTTTCCAGCATCTTGTTGAATCTATGCCGCAAATAATTAAGGCAGTTCTGAAGGCAACCTGCTACAAGTAAGGTAACTAATACAGTCACCAGTGAGTGTAAAAACTGGGGGGAAAAAAATGGAGAAAAGGGGATAAAAAGGCATCACAGGGATTACTGACATAAACATGAGTATGTCTGTTCATGTTTTCTTTGAGGGAATCACATGATGGGACTTTTGTTTGGTGAGACAAAAAAACCCAACTCACCTTTTGTATGTGTCAATGAAATACTCTGTGTGTGTCAGCAGGGGAAGGGTAGTGACATCACAGCCCTGCACGTTATGCAGGAAGTAGGTGAGTGCTGTGGCATGTTGGCCAATCAGGGTGCTCAGCTGAACAAAACTCTCACAGAGAGAGAAGAAGAGATGAGAGCACTGCTCACCCAACACTGGACACAAACTTTCTGCAGATGAGAAAACACACACACACACACACACAAACACAAATTTTAATAAATGTTTTAATTAGGCAGAACGAGGCAGTAGATGCTCTCTGACCTCTTTTACGCAGAGGGGTGAGGAGGATCTTCCTGACGCTGCTGCACCAACAGTACAAATGCCTCTCTCTGGAGGCCAGCTCGTGGATAGCAGAAATAAAACCCATGACATTGTGGTCTGCCAGCACCGCACAGCTCTGACCTCCACTGCACACACTGCTAACGTAACCCATCTACACACACAGCAAAAACAAGAGGGTAACGTTTAGGTTACAATTACAGTTAGAGTTAGGCTGGTGTGAGTAAGAACTTCCATCTCATAAATATGCTCGTGCTTTAGCGGAAAAAATGCTCCACCCATCATTTTCCTTACTGTCTGTGTTAAGTTGCGCTTTGGACCTACAAACCTCAATGCAGAAGGGCAGCAGGGTGGGCATGACTGTATAACGCTCCACTCTGTTGGGTGACCTCTTGCTTGAGCTTTCACTCTGGTTTAGCCTCTCAGTTTGCACTGGCTCCTTCTGTTGGCCGCAGTACAACAGGACTGGCTGCACACAGTCTCCATCAGCCAGGAGCAGGGTGTGGCTCTGACCGGCTGACAAGTCCCAAACACGAAGCCCATCAGACAGCTATGGTGGTCCACCCACAACGAAACAGAGTAATATTAGGAAATGGATGGTGTTGCTATGTTTTCCTACATTAGCGAAAATAATAATCTATGTGAATGACTAAATCTTTGGCTAGAAGTGTGAAATGTGTGAATTAAATTTTAAAAAATGGGATGAGATTTCTGTACCTTCGCCTGCTGAGGGACAGTGACGGGGCTGTTCACGTGGCCGAGTTGTCCACACATGTTGCTGCCCCATGAGTACACCTACAGCACAGAAGAGATGAAATAGGGGGTGAGCATGCACTTACATACAAGTAATGCTTGAAACCTTGAAAAATAACATGATTAAAGTATCATAAGACAGTTAATTACATCTTATTTTTAAGATTGAGTCACAAATGTTGATGTTTAATTAGGATGTCTATTAGCATTTTGTTAAAGCATAACTCAGCTTTCTGGACTTCTCATTAAAACATACAGAAATGTTAAGCTCATCTCAGCATGCAAGTACAAGTAGCAATATTTAGTAGGGTAAGGTCTCCAGAGCTTGGGAGCATTTAATGTCAAAGGGAGTCCTTAGAAATGGCACCTGTTTGTCTAATCACGCTAAGTGTGTGCCGTTTTTGTTACCTGGCACTGAGCAGTGAGAGCCAGTGAATGGTGCGAGCCTGCAGCAACTTTGATCACTTCTTCACCTGTTAAAGACTTGATGCATAGAGGCTGGAGTCTGGACACACAAACACAGTTCACTCGAATCTTGTGGTTATAATTTCTTTCTTTACACATTTCCAACTAATTCAATTGAGCATTTCATCCCAAAAGGTTGTATCTAATTGTCTTTTAATGTAATTCTGTTCAATTCACCTTTAAATAATAATTATGCTTATTACATCATCATAGACATATCGTAAACACAATATAGACATTTTATTTTTAAATATCACTGTTACACTTTATTTTTGGTCCCCACCTGGCGAGCTGATCTCCATGACCAAGTTGTCCCTCAGAGCCACGGCCCCAGCTCCAAATCTCTGTCTCCAGAAATGGCAGGCCATCTTCTGCCTCCTCTGGTGCTCCAGCCGGAGCCCCACCAGCTGAGGACGGCCTGCAAGCACAAGGGTGTCGCCTCCGAGGAGACCCTAACGGAAAAATACACGAGCAGAGTAGAGTAAAACTTTAATGTCCCTGTGGGGGAACCTGCTTTGCAGAGAGTAGTCCATGTATAAAAGATGCTTGGGATTCAATATGATGGTTTGTCGTTACATTAAGACTACCACACCAGCAAATCACAGAATAAGAAAGCATTGACTGAATAAAAGAAAAAATACACTAGGTGAGGACATTCAAATAACTGAATCCTCACATAATTGTCATATTTGAGCATTTATCTATATTGTAAATTGAGTTTTTCATTAAAATTACATAACTCTAGTACAAAATGTTTTTTGTCAATGTTTCAGAATGATCTTGAAATCCTAAAAAAGCCTAGATGGACTTGAGCAATCTTTGAGTAATATGAATGTTATTGCTACAGAATACAATCTGCAGTGTTTCCCACAATCAGCTGAATCGACATAGCTTCAGGACGATCCATTGAAAATGAATTCAGACTGGCCAAGGGGCGACTCAACAGATAAAGACGCCAGTATCTCCCAATATTTTGAGCATAAACTAAGGAAGGGGATTGTTATTGCTTGTGAAAACAAACTTTCGTGGCTCTTCTGAGATTTTAAGAGATGTCATTAATTCAGAAAATTCAGTGTTTATGTCTTCTCTGCAAACAAACTGCATCAGAGTTCAGTGCAGTGTTATTGACCATGCTACATGAGCAAACGCAAACAAACCGCACCCACAAGGGTTTGCATGAACACACCCTAACGACTCACAGAGCTTCACTGCTTCACTGGAATCAACATGTGCCACCTTGTACCTACAAAATACTTAAACTAACCGGGAGCTGAGTCAAGCTGTTGAACCAGGATAAGCAGGCACAGAGCAGAAAGTCACAACATCAATAAAAACATTCTGCTATTCAATATATCAAATTTTTTTTATTTTTTTTAAACAACGCTTTTCAGCAAAAACCTAAAATGTCAACGTGGTTTTCATTTCTGCGTCGGCTGACGAGACACTTTCATTTTTACGCTCCTGAAACTCCTGGAAAACCAGAAACTGAGAGTCTGCCGGCCCTTGTATGGCACAATCAATGTATTTCATACAACCCTTATTAAGTAAAGTTACTTGAAATCATTAGCACAGTCATCAGAAATTACCAGTACTAGTATTGGGATAGAGTTATATAGAGAGAGTATAAGGTGTTTGCTAAAATGGGAAAACTGTGTACACTTGAATCCTAAAAAAAATGAAGAACTCTAGGTCTAATTCCACTGAAAATGCAACATGAAAAAGTGAACTGAAATAAACCCATTGCGGGTTTACTTCTTATTCTATCAGGTAGTGAAATTGGAGAAGCAAAAGTATGTGGCACAATAATCCATTCATCTCGATTGTGTTGTTTTAATAGAGGCTAGAAGGTAACGTTTTAATTAAAATCTGATAAAATGTCTGTTAAAATATTCTTATCATATTCCAAAACAGCTTTCCTAAGATCCTCCGATCCAAACAAAACAAAGGAGGTAATTTATTACAGGACACCAAATGTAAAATTAGATGTCCAGCAAGCTTTACAACATTTCATGACTTATTACGATAAAATTCTCACAAAGTTCTTTCAAGAGCTGAGGGCTAAAGACTTGGTTGAATTAGGTTACGCGAGAGTGTGGCACTTACTAGTGATGATTAAACTTAAAGGTAATATTAAAAGTAAGATGATTAGTAATGCATTATTATATCTTCACAAAGACAGCCAAACAAAATTAGAAATTGTGTGGGTGCTGCTCATCGAATGTATGTGATAAACTGATCATCAGCAGCTGTCACCACCTCTACAAATGCAGAAGTTTTGGCAATTTTCTGGTCTGGAGCATTCAGTTGTGTGTTAACACAATCCCACAATCTTCCCATGAGTGGACGTCCCAAGGAATTCACCCAAAGGTCAGACCATGCAATGCTCAGATAAGTTAGGCCTCAGTTAGCATGTTAAAATATTGCGTTCATGAAGAGCGGTCCAAAATTCCTCCACAATGATGTGAGAGACTGATCCAGTCATACAGAAAATAGTTACTTCAAGTTATTGCTCCTAAAGGAGGTTTTACAAGCTACTGAATCATGAAGTGCCCTTAATTTTTAAGATGGCTGCAAACAGTCCTGTGAAAACTTTCTTTGCCCCTCCTCCCCGTACACAGAGTGGATCAGGCAGAGGGCCACTTGTAAATGAAAGTGACCCAAAGTATGAGAACGGATAACCCAAATAATCTCATACTCTGCAAAGCACTTACACATGTCCCCAGTAATGCAAGGGCCAACACTGACTGGACTGGACAAGCAGTTGTCAAGATAAGCACAAAACAGGTAGATGTACAGAAAGATTTCTCAACTTATTGGTGAGACCAAATGACATTTTCAGGCTACTTGAATGTCATTTTTTATAGAGATTGAGAAATGCTTTAATAATGAAAAAAGATATATTCAGAAAGCAAGAATAACCTTGATTGACTTATCAGTTTATTGAACACATAAGCTCAAGTTTTAAAAGATATGTTGGTCTTAAATGCGTCAAAGTGAAATGCAAACACAGGCAGGAACTGCGCTGTGTGTTCTGTTGCAGGTAATCGACAAAAGTGCCAGATAGCGTATAAACGTGTTCAGTCCATACTGCTATATTTCACTAATTACTAATGTAAAAAGTTAAAATTCATAATCAAACACAATCCTAACAGCAGTTCCTGTAGTTCCAAAGCTAGAACTACAGGAATTACCTCTTGTTTGTTCATTTCAAATACAAGTACAGATGCAAAAAACTAACAGCTGTGGTTTTACACAGAATCAAATGGTGTGTCTGTTTTTTTGTTAATAGCTTCTCAGTGTCTTGATGAAAAGCTATGCTAACAGTCTCCTGGCTCCATATTTTGAGTTTGGGGAATCTTCTCATCTCACTCTTGAAAGTAAAGTAAATAAGCTCATTTCCCAAATGTACAGTTAAGCTGTTCACACCCTATCATTCCTACCGTGGGTGGGTGTTCCAGGAAGCGAGCTTCTCCTGCTCGTTGCCGTTTTCCCCTTCTGGTGTATGTTTGTGAGACTAGAGCTCTTCAGTCCCTGCAGGGACGGCTTTTCCTTCTCCAGACAGAGTCGAACTTCATTCAGACACACTGGGGAAGAGGAGTGTGACCCAGACAGTCCACTGTTACTGTGGAACAGAAGGTCAAATGTTAAGCTGCTAATACCCTGAAGATAACAGACATCCTGGTAGGGCGTGGATCTGCATTAGTCGACGATTATTATTCATGCTTTGCAGTTCTGGGACACGGTTTTGAAACACAGTCTTACTTGTGCATTTGTCTCTTTGTATTTAAGTCATCTTTGTAACTGGAAGTCAGCAGGTCAGAGGAAGGAGTTGAGGAAATGCAGCTGTCGTCTGGATAGAACAGATGAGAGAAGAGAAAACATTACAGAAAGCAGCAAAAAACAGCAATTGAAAAGAAAGGAATGAGTGAAGGATGAATCAAGAAGAGAAAAGCAGTCAATTATATTAATTGTTACATTAAATGATAAATTTCAAAACATCGAAGAGACGAATATCACAAACCTGAGGTGTGGCTGCTCAGTGAGTCAGTGTCTTGTTTATCTAATGACTGATCAGAGAGTTCCTCAAGGAGATTTTGCAACTCCAGGTCTTCAGAGAAGTTCTTGTTGGTTCTCCAGCCTGACAGCAAGTGCACTTTTGGGCTGCCGTCAGTCTCTGTTACACTGTCAGTTTGACCCTGAGATTCAAGGGTTGGGCTAAAGTTTTCCAGTGGAGGAAAGGCAAGGAAAGACAACTATGAGAGTTAGGAATTATTTTTAAAATTAAGTGAGTTATGTAGTAACGTACTGTTTAGTGTTAGATTTGCTGTCATCAGAACCAGGACTGCTGCTTGCTGATGTTGCTCCAGCCCGGAGCCTTCGTCTGGGTCCTCGAACTTGGAAAGACGTCTGTGAACACAAAATGACAAGGGGTATCACACATTGTTGAGAAAGCTATGGTTCCTGATTATGTAAATTACTTGTTTTTAGTCAATTTTCAACAATTACACACCTGTAAAATGTTGGAACTGGACATTATTCAGATTAACAGGATGTTGAGGCTTTATATACACTCACTAATGCGATAAAACATCATGATTGCACCGCCTACCACACTGTTGGTCATTTACATGTCACCAATAGCGACCAACAGTGTGTTAGGTGGTGACACATTCAGTAGTGACCCATTCAAATAACTCTGCTGCAAGGGAGGGAGGGAGGAAGTGGCCTTTTTATGACCGGTCAGTTTCCTTGACACTTCCTGACTGGCAGCTCTGATTAGCTGTGCCGTACCTTTTTTTTAAAGCTACATTTTTATTTTATTTTTTTTTACATTTTTTTTTTACAAAAAAATAAAATAAAATTCAAGAAATTACCTACAACCATATCCTTTTTGGCCTCATTACACAAGTAAAACTGAACATCAGTATACTTGTGGAATGTATGCCAGAATAACTCTCACTGTTTAGAGTTTTATTCCATGCGTCCCACTTGACCTGGTCAAAATTAGCGGATTTGGACACAGAAAGAATCACAGATAGAAGATGAGCCTCAAATTAAAATGTAGTTATAAAGAAGAGCTTTCATATGCTAGAACTTGTTTTGACCACCCATGCCACATGATGGTGTGACTCTTTAAAGTTCACCCCGTGTATTATCAGAATTTAAACATACAGGGCACTGATGCTTGTTTCTTTTTCTCTACATTTTTCTACAGAAACTGTGATGTATCCTTTAATATTGATGCTCCAAGACAGTTATAGAAAAAAGCTGAACAAAAATTATATTTTGGCTTGAGATTGTGATAATTGTAAAGTGCTCACATTTGTTTTTAAAGACTTCAAAATGCGTTTCTCCTGTACTTAAAACTCCTATATGGAATTAATAGCTGCATTCATCTTATTCTAGAGTATTCACAATAATTTGCTCTACTGTTGTAAGTACTGGCAGTTATTTTACAATTTGTGTAGCCCCCTTTTCATTATTGTTCTTTTACTTATTCCTGTTTGTATTTTTATTTACCTCTCCTTTCATCACTTCAGTTAACTCCACTCCGAGTGGGCAGTAATGAGAATCCTCAACTGCTGAGAGCTCCTCCCTCTCTGTCACCGAGTAGTGGGGTGACTGGCCTCGCTCCTTCTTCTTAGGGGCATGCTGGGTATTATAGTCCTGAGGAGGTAACCTGCGGACAAGAGCCAGGCTGTGGTATGCACCGCAGGCCACCTGCAGGAAGAAATACAGCCAGTAAAGCTAAAACAGAACATCACAGCTTTGGAGGTTTAACATGGCAATGAAATTAGATTTTACCTGAATCACATGTCTGCCTGCCAAGTGTTCCACCTTTGGACACAGAGGATAAAGAACACAAGAGTAAATGAACCATTTCATAAATTAACTAATACTTTAAAATGTCTAATATTATTAACATGTACTGAGAAAACTGTTTAACCATTTACACTCGAGCACCTATTTTCCTGTTTTGTGATATTTGTATGAGCTGTATAAATAAATTAGTAGTGACACTTGTTTAACTATTGCTACAGCAGTACTTCATGTCATTTAATTCATTAACAACTTACAACTACATTTAACAGGGAAGGTTTTTTAAATCTTCATTCATATCTATAACAGGAAAAGAGTTGTAGTATTACCTTCTGTGGTTTCCCCACAGGGAAGGTGTTGGTGACCAGGCCGAGTTGGCAGCCACTACCCCACGCCCACAGCTCGTTCTGAGCTGACAGAGCCAGGCTGTGTTCCCGTCCACAGGCAAGGTCCACAATTCGAACCACCACTGGAGGAACGACCTCACCGTCCACCACGCTGACAGGACAAGGCTCTGGAACTGTAGGGTAATTTTCTGTTTCATTTAAATCATATTAAGCCTGACATAGAAGTAAATAAATGCCTCTTTTTAACTGTTTCATCTAATTTAACAAGTTTTTATTTGTCAACCTCATATCTACTATCATCATTGGTGCTTTAAAAATCAGTTTTAAGGCCTCATAAACACGTAGCTGGTAAATTAATATCAGCATTTATAAAGAACGTAAATAAAAAAAGAAACCATGTTGCAAAAAATGGGAGGAAGCACTGACAGAAAATGGAAGTTTCACAACAATGGATAAAAGTAATGAGAAAAGAAAGTGTTGAATCTCTGACAAAGAACAGAAGTAAAAGATAAGCGAGAAAGAAGCTGACGGAGGTAGTGAGGAAGGAGGGAAGTTACAATGGAGAGCAGAGGCTGAACACAAGGGTAAAAGTTAGGAACATTTAGAAGAAAGGTGTTAACTGACCGGTGATGTTTGTGACTGTACCCTTCTCTGTTTGCCCACACTGTCCTGCAGTATTCTCCCCCCACATGTAGACGCTACCCTGCTCGCTCAGTGCACCGCAGTGGAAGCCGCCAGCAGCCACACGGACCACCGTCTTTCCCAGCAGAGAGACCTCTGGCACCGGAGCAGACACGGGGACGCTCAGATCCCTCCATAAAAGCTCTCCAAATGAATACACCTGACCACCTGAAAGACAGTAACATCTGAGAAGAAATGCAGTGATGAAGCATAAATGAAAGTGGGGCCTTCTTTACTACAAACAAACTTACCCTGTGCGAGCAGGAGGCCGTGGTGTTCCCCCAGGGAGACCTGCAGAACGGGCCTGGACAGCAGCACCCTATCTGGACAGAGCTGCCTGCTGTGGCCCGCTGAATGCCAAACATGGAGGAGTCCTCGGTCTGGAGATGTGGGAGCCTGCTCATCTGCGAGGCTGCAATGAAGCGTGAAAGATTAAATAAGCAAGTCTTAATAAGTCTGTGCATTCAGATGTGATCAACCTGAACAGATTCTCCAAATTCTGCACCTGGAAACCACTACTGCAGAGATTAGATGTGGTTTAGTGACACAACTTTGAGTGACAGATGGATTATATTCCATCACATCCATCTGTCAAACAATAATTATTTGCTCAATGTCTGCCGGCCCTGACACGCAATTTAGTTTTGAAGTAGACGAACAAGTCTGTGCAGTTTACACAGCCCTCATACTGAACTAGACACAAATATATGACAGGATTGGGACTAAAAATTAGCTTAGGGTATAGAACTTGTGGCATGTGGCACGTGTTTATGATATATACACATGTTCCTGTACCAATAAACAATAAATAAACAACTGAGTATAGGCACACCTAGTAAGGTTCTGATATTCCTGTTTGTATGTAATCAAAGCTGAAAATGTTACAGATACAGGATTTCTGAGTATGTTACAATAGAATTTATTGTTTCTCTGCACTTTAATGGGGAACATAATTCACAAAATAGACATCATGTAGTATTCAATAACAGTGGAATTTACTGACTGAAACTCTAAATTAATCAAGATTGTATTTACAGAGGGCACGGTCAAGGGAGCACAGACAAAGGTATCTCCCCCTGCTCACCATCAGCTTTAAGGCACTTCAGCACTGGCATTACTTTTCAGACCTAGAAGCTCTGTCTATTCTTTTTATACAGTACCAAAAAACCAAAACCAAACCAAAACTCTCACATTATTAAAAAATGTACTTCTGGTATTGTGTATTTTCTGTGTGATTATGAAATGCACACACCACTGTGGGAAACTTTTGAATAACCCCTCATTTCTTCATATTTTGCTTTCAATAAGTCAGACTTCTACATTTTTTAAAGTAGTCTTAAGCAATAGTTCTTCAAGCTTTCTGGAGATCTCTGAATTCTTTTTCTTTGGTCATTCCAGTCGCCGTATCCGGCCATTTTAAGATTAATGCTTATTTGGTTTGGTTGTTAAACTTACCCTATGAATCACTAAAGTATTAAAAAGGCACCTAACTCGAGAGATGAACCATGGTTAGGGTAAACACATAACAGACAACTTGACAAAGAAGCAATTCTTAAATTTCTATCTTTATATACTCTATTACAAGCAGCCTGGCACAAAACACATCATTTGTTCCAGTTTCTTTATTTGACTCTACAAAAACATTGGAGGAATCACTAGCTACACTCCATGAGACAGGAAGAGGAAATGATGGATGGAAATTACTGGTGTGGTTTACAGGGTGGAAGAGCAGGGCTTTGAGGAGCTGGTTAAAAACATCCCAGGTAAAAAATATTGTTTAGTCTGTAACAATAGTGTGCAGCTTCTGAAAAAGTTACAAGGTTAAGTTAATTTATTTTTTCATTTCTACATTTTAATTTAGGTAGTCTGTAATAATAGACAGCATCAGAAAACAAGGATGCCCATCATTTACTTACAGTTATGAATGTTGATGCCTGTAATCATCAGTAAAACCTTGTTCAGAGCTTGTTTTCCTCTATTATCAGAAATATCAGAATCAGATGAGAAAATTGAAGAGCAATTCTCTCAGTTCAAAAGAAGACACAGTCACTCAATAAAATTTAATTTAATTAATATAAAGAAATGAGGAATGACTCAAGACTTTTGCACAGTACTGTAGTTATAACCATTAGCATAAAAGTTTCGCTTGAGCTGTAGTGGAAATGAAATTATAGAAGAACTAATGTTTACTGGAATACTTATTTACTGAACAGAAAAGGTTCAATAAGTAAGGTTTAATTAAACTTTAATTGTTATTGTTTTTGAGTAAATGTCCACCAACAATGATTTTTTTCTTATGTTCTCTTCTATGACTTTCAATATCCCTATGAAAAGAGCATGCTTGTTTATATTTCTGTATTTGTGAATGTCGATATATGCCCATTTGTGAATATATGGAGCTAATGAGAGCTTAATAAAACACACAAAAAAACTTGTAAGTTGCAAAGCAGTTTCTCTTAGATTAATGGTATGAACTTTGTGTTTTAATGTACATAAATAAAAGCTTAACACACTGCTTGAGAGACTGTCCAAGATTAAATGAAGGCTAAAGGTATAAAGGATCTTGCTTTTATGTTCAACATGTTTCCACTTAAAACAAGTTTCTCAGAGATTATAAAGCCAAGGTCTGCTGAAAGCGCTCCTATGTGCTTACCTTGCCTCTGGAATCTCCATCACTTCAGGCTCCCCATTCCTCAGCACACTTATGACACTTGTATGTTCATTTCTTCAAAGCTCTTCTTTGTTTTCCCTCTGAATGACTCAGCTGATAGGAACAAAGTGAATCCTCTGTCCTGCTGCAGTGCCTCGTTGGTTTATCAGGCTCCAGGGGCTTATTTGGTACAACAACCACAAAGACACATTCAGTTTATCACTTGATGTAAGTCTGGCATGTACCAAAAACACTTAAGTCATTATGTCAGTTGGTTTTCTCTGGTTCAGATGTAATAACATGCAATAACATTTGTCCCAATGTTTGCATATGACTGAAATGTGGTCAAGAGCTGTTTTCCAAGGCATTTATTTACAATTGTCCACTATTCAGGTGTAAGTTTTTAATTTATTTTTTGTTTATGGCCCTTTATGTGGCTGCACATAAAGGGACAATAACCAAATCTGTAACACAGAACAGGGTAAAATATATTAGAAAACATTAACACTGATTTTCAGCCTCTTGTGCAACACCCTGTACCCTAATACATCACTTTATTACATGAAAAGTGACATGGTGAAGGAAGCGATATTTACATAGATCATGTATCACATAAATCCTATTCTTTGCTTTACAGGAGATATAGTCTTTGATGTAAACATAGTTTCCATTGATCAGGTTGTTAACAGACTTGATGTTTTTGATGTAATCACAGTTTATCCAGGTTCCTTTACTGTGGTCTCAGAGTACTGACATGCTTAAAGTATCCTGTCCTTGACACTTTGTCTTTAAAAGTTAACTTTTAAATATTAATCATTGTAGCCTCACAGAAAGAAGGTCCTTGGTTTGAATCCACTGAGTGAATCCAGAGTAAAGAGAAAGGCACCTGTTTCATTAGGCCTCATTAGGCCAGCCAAGATTTGCTGACTGAGTCTATGTGGTAGCCATGAGAAGGTTGTTCCCCTATGACAATGGGGACTCCAGCCCCCCCCACAGCCACAAACTGGATAAGCATAAAAAGATTGATGGGCAAACAGAACATGCCCTATATCCATCCTAGTTATTATGTTCTATCATCATTGCCATTTTCTAGATAATAAAGTCCTAAAGAAAACTACCTGAGCTGGCTGCTTTGCACTTTTATGGGTATATCTAGTATCTGGTAATATGGCTCTATCACTATGGACTCTCGGGAGTGAAGCTCAAGCTAACATACAATGACCCATGCTTTGAGTCCCTAAAATAGTTGGATGTCTGATCTCTGACAGAACTTGTGGAGGTCTGTAAAAAGCACAGTTTGGCAGGTAGAGCAATGATATTATATTTACAGCTTCTGATATCCAGAGGACATAATATTCTTTAAAACAGTCCACATCAGGTGAATGGTATTACAGTTATTAATGCCTATTATGGACAAACACATTTTCATCCAAATTCTGCGCGAAATCCCCCACTTTTATATTAAAAGAGAGAGCCTCTTAATATTATATTTAAAAAAAATGTGACGGTGACTTATGAACATAAGTAACTCTGCTTTTAACATTAACTTTAGCTCGACTTCTTAGTAATTTCTTTCTCAAAATTTGCCAAACATTTCACCTTTGGTTCTTCACGGCGATTAAATCACTTATATACGAAATACAAACACATTACAACGTTGTAATGTGATCATCATTAACTAAAATCGATGCTTTTACATTAAAGGTCAGTTTAATATGACTATGTGTTTGTTTGTTTGTTTTTTAGCTCTATTTACAAAACAGTGGCGGCAACAAAATCCATATCTAATCTGTCTAATAGCTATCTAATCTCGGAAGCTGTTTACTTTCACAGACTGACAGCCATGCTTCTTCTGTCACCGAGTGAAGACAGAAACAACTGTGATCATCTTCATTTTTTTTAATTCCCCTGACAGAATTTCCTACACTATCTAAGAATACGAGAGAAAAGCGAATAAAGAAGTTGGCTAGCTCGATGCTACAGCTGCTAAAGAAGCTAACTAAACTCACCGAGCGCCCGTTTGAAGTCGGCGGAAGGCTGCGGAGATTTGTGCTGCGGTCACTGTGAATAAATCCGGAACTGTGTCCAGGTGTCACAGGAGGGGCACCGAGCTACGGCATTTCTTTTTTGTTTTTTATTTATTCAAATCAGTGCAGCGCAGTGAAAGCAGAAGTGGTGTGGTTGTTGTTGTTGGGAGGAAACTCTGCGATGGCATCCGTGCAGGGACAAACTTTACAGCGGCGACTCACCTGTTGCTGCAGCACGCGAAAGAAGCTCTATACAGAAAGAAAAATAGGGTCTACTGTAGCTCTGTTTCCAGAATGCAGTCTGAATGGCGTATCATCTTTTTCAAATCCAGTTATCTGTTTTATGTGGAGACTCATGAGTGCCAAAATGAATTATAGAAATACAGATTAATTAATTAATTAAACGTGACATCAATTCATTGAAATGTTAAATAAGTAAACAAGTATTTTATTAAATCTTTTAAATTAAATGAATAGCTATTTAATTAATTATTAAATATATAATTAATTCTTTAATTCTTTAATTCATTTTGGCACTCTGGGCCCTCCACTGTTGAGTTGCCTAGCCATGTCTAGAATCTGGGCTTGGGCTGCTACTGGTCCCACCTGATGTATAACCAGTTCTCTTAACTGGAAGCATTTATATTGAATATTCAGGTATTTGCACTTTATTTGAGTATTTGTTTTTTCTGACAAGCTTTTACTTTTACTGCTTACATTTTCAAACAGACTAGGGATGGACGGTAATTCGTTAATGCACTAAATCCAGTAATTACATTAGAGTTATGTTATAACTTGTGTTAACAAAAAGGTCTTCAGTTATCTGCATGCTGGATGGATAGAAATGAAAAAGCTCCCATCAAACAGCATTTTTTTTCTTCCTGTGTACTTGATTGATAATCAAATAACATGCTAAGTAACTAAAGCTTTAAGATAATAGAATAAGGGCCAGAGTTGCTAAACAGAATAAAATAGCATGTGAGCATGATCCCCAAATAGTTCCAATAGGTGTGGTTAGTTTTACGGGTGTTTCAAAAAGCTGTACTATTTTCTTATCGCATGTCATGGATCGCTGTGTGGCAGGCAGGAGGAGGACCCAAAATGCAAAACTCACAGACACGGGGATGAACTCAAAAATTACAGCTTTAATGCTGGAGAGGCAGAACGTAGGAAATACAAAACTAAACTGGGAAAACTAAATACAAAGCTCGCCAAGAAACACAGGGAAGAACACACACAACATGAGGGAGAACGCGACACAGAACTGAGGGAGACGCAGACATAAATACACGGAGGGTTAACGAGGGAAGTGGGAGCACACGGGGAACACAGGTGACACTGATAATCATAACAAGACACGGCAGGAGTGAACACCACACTGACGGGAGACGGGCAAAGTAAAACAGGAAGTACAGAGGTTCAGACAGGAGGAGAGAGAGCACGGGGGAAACACAGACATAACGGGCTGGGGAAAACAGAATAAACACAAAGAGAGACGAGGGCTCATGAATACACAGAGGGGCACACAGGGGGTAAGAGTCACGAAGGGAACACACTTGGGGAACAACACACCAGGGCAACTCAGGAAACATGGCCTAAATAAGGAACAAAATACAAAAATACATGAAAACTAAGAATACTGGGCCAACATGGCCCAGGACCATGACATCGCAGGTATAATATCAAGTTCAGGTAGGACATGCTTTTTTCAGCATTAATATTAGGACAATTAGCAGTAAGTTGCTTGTTGCTGATATTAGTAAAGCAGTTTGTACTCTTGATTTAAATATTTTCCTTCTTATATTTTGCACTTTGAGACAGTGAAACTCAACTTGCAACCGGATCACATCTTACACGCAATCTCGTCACTTCGCTCTCTTTAAAAATAGTACTTTTTTGCACTAAAATCCAGTTTGTTCTGGTGCAGTGCATTAGTAAATCTACCTCTAACTCTATTATGTGTATATGATATAATGCTAGGTTACACAGGGAAGTCTGTGTGGAGTCTCCCTGTGTTTGCATGGGTTCTCTCTGCCCACAGTCCAAAGACATGCATGTTAGCTTAGTTGGTGATTTCAAAATTGCCTTTAGATGTAAATGGTTAAATAGATGTCTGTTTCTCATTGTTGTCCCTGTTGGTAGACTGAAAATCTGTCCAGGATGTACTTCTCCTCTTGAGACAACAACTGGATAGGTGCGAGGCTTCTGAACTGGGTGAGTGAATAAGAAAAGGATTTGATGTATTATAGATACCAGGAGTGTATAAGCAATTATAATCATATCCAGGTGCAAAATAATTCATAATAATGAATCAATACTTATAGTCTCATGATATATAATATAGATGACTCTGGATAACGTATGATTTTACTTTAGGAATAGTTTGATGCTAGTTTTTTTTTTCTATTATTAGGCTACTCAAGAGTGTAAATATTTCTTTCACCACTTTGTAAAACAGCTATTCCATATAATTTTTAAACTCTTGTGTTGTGTAGTATTTCTACTCTGCTTTTTAATGTCTGGTTACATTTTTCTGGTTTCCTGTGGATTTCCCCTGCCTTGTTTTTGCCATGCCATCCCAAATTAAAGAATCCTGGAAATGCTCTTGTCCCTTTTAAATAGTTTCCTGGAATAAACACTGGAAAAATATAGAACACGGATATGATGGCAATTAGTGCCATTATAGGTTAAAAACATGAACACCAACCATGAAAGCAGTTTTGCAAGGGGAAGCGGTACTATTGAAAGAATGCAAACACAGGATGTCTAGATTAAAGTGGCAAATTTATCAAAGAAAAATACAACATTTGATTATAAAACACATCAGGCACATTTAGGTGCGACACATCACCTAAACACACAACAGAATAAGTTTTAGCCATCTAACTGCATGAAGAGGCTGTTGGAAAACAATTAATGTTCAGGTCTGATGACGCGATTCCAAAAACTGATCAAAAAGATAACTATAAGTTGTTCCTCGGGTGAATTTAATATAATTAAATAGCAAGACTAATGCATATGGATGTAAGTGCAGGCCTCAATGCTCTGTGTTGCTCCTCATGTGGGCTTTCAAAAAACAGAGGTCTTTGAGCTGCAAATACATCAACCTCTCAACTGGAGGTACAACTTTACTGCAAGCTACATATTTACAATCACCTGGAATAACCCCATGCTTTAGCTAAATTAAAATTACACATTTGTTTTGGTAAGTGGTCATTTGTTACACAGTATCTGTTTGTATTGTACCTCAATCCTGTTTGATGCAGTGCCCTCCAGAGGAGGCTTTTTTGAGCCTTTCCTTCAGTTCATCTAAAACCCCTCATACAGTATTTATGACAAATATGTTGCTTCACAACTGTGGTTCCTCACGAGTCATTCTGTAACAAATCCTTAACTTAACTGTGGTGTTTTGTGTTTGTCTTTTAAAACTTTCAACTTGTAGGCTATGTAACAGCATGCCTCCCTTTCTCACTTACACTCACAGGCAACAGTGTTGCCAGCGTGTTACTTTAAAACACTGTGACGCATACGAGTGACCTAATCGCTTAATTGTGGCTTTTCCCTTCCCTTCCCTTCCTTTCATTTCCTTTGCTTTCCTTTCCTTTCCTTTCCTTTCCACGGGGATCTTCACAGCTACGTTTTTTTTAAAATCCTAGCATGATGAGTCATAAGAAGTCTGTTACGAATACTCAAAACAGTGCTCAATCATTTTTAGCTGTAGACACTTTTTTTTATAAACAATTTAAGTAGCATAACACCCTTTCCTTTCCTTCCTTCCTTTCCTTTCCTTTCAGCCATGTTCGTGATCAGCTCTCGTTTGCCTTTTTAGTGTTTTCTATATAAAAGCATCCAGCAGGTTTTGGCTCAGACTTTTACAGCCTCTCATAAAACAGGGGGAAGAAAGGAAGAAAGGGCAGTGAATTCAGAGGGAGAAAATCTAATATTTTGCCTTCTTGGAGCTGAACATGAGACATTAAAGGATCACAGCTGCTGGCAGTAGCTTCTGATGTGCGCTTTTTGTTGGCAGTCTAATTTTCAGTTTCCATCACACAAACGTCTCACTGCTGTGAAATCTAGCTCATCTAAGGAGACACATTGCTCAAGTCGCTGCTGTTCTCATGATTTCATATGCTTGTCAAGTCATCACCATGGGACCGGATTACTTCAAGTTCATGCGTAGCCGAATAATAGTATAGCTCTTTTCTCATCAATATTTGCCTAAAAATAATTTTTTAAAAGTCTGGATTTCACATAGCTAAGCTAAGTGCTTAATAAATGGCAAAAAAAGTGCTTTAAGGACACAATTTGCTAACATTCATCTTTAAAGTTAATGAATGAGCCTCTTACCATTAAGGTAAATCTTGAATCTTGTTAAATTAAAATGGCTTCTGTTTGGAAATCGCTGTTTTTCATGACATCAAACTTTTAAAATCAATGTCTTTTCCAATGTTAATCTAAAACGGTGTGACAAAATTACTGCAATCTTTTCCTGAACAAGTTTACATTGTTGTAATTCTCAAACTCTGAACAAAGTAGAAGAATCTCTGGTTGATCAGAAGAAAAGGGAAACGTGGCAAGCTAACTCGTGAAAGCAAGGATGCAGTACTTTTAGTATAAATGGAGGCTGCACTTATCACACAAGAAAATACTGAGGACGGCAAAGGTGCTTGCAAGTACAGTCACCAGACATAAATATGCAATCAGCCAACCAAATGGTAGCAGCTTAGTAGATTTAGGAACACAGACATGGTGACGAATTGGTAAGAATGAAGATTTAAGTCACTTTGAATGTGGCATGGTCGTTGATGCCAGGCAGGCTGGATCTTATTATTACAGAAACTGCTGATCTGCTGGGTTTCACCCACACAACCATCTCTAGGGTTTCCATAGAATGGTCTGAAAAAGAGAAAGTATCCACTGAGCGGCAGTTCCCTGAGAGAAACCACATAATATGCTGAACCTTGAAGCTAATGGGCTACAGCAGCAGAAGACCACACTGGGTGCCACTCCTGTCAGCTAAGAACAGGAAACTGTGGCTTCAATTTGCACAGGCTCACCAGAATTGGGCAAAAGTTTGTGAAAATGTTACTTGATCTGATGAGCCTCAACTTCTGCTGCAACATTCAGATGGTAGGTTCAGAATTTGTTGTAAAAAACATGAAAGCATGGATTCATCCTGGCTTGT